TTAATAAACATTAAAGTGAATTACTTATAGTAAATATACGTATAAAATTAAGTATTAGCTTTTAAGAATAATTAATTTTATACGTATATTCGCTATAGGTAATTTACCTTAATCTTTATTAAAGTAAAAAAACGCATAATTAAGCTATTTATAATTATTATATATTTCAAGGCTATCACGTAGTTTTCTCTAGGTGTCGTGTTATGCCGCACCGTCCCAGGCCCGGCGTAACGCCGTGTCCCGGATATAAACATTCCTGGTGTAATTAGTGTGTTGTGGTGAACTTCACTTTGTCCTCACTTCCAGGGCTGCCTAGCTAGGCAGAAATTAATTATTAACTTAAAATACTATAAGAAGATATTAATTATTATTTTAAATTAAATAAATAGTAATATTACTTATATATAAGTAATCTACTTAAAATATTAAAAATCACTTAAACCGCCTAAACCGCTAAAATCGCTTAAAATGCTAGATGTGGGGTTATGGCAGCAACTGCGGACCTTAGCTAATGTGCGACCGTAGCCTTTCTTCTTTCGGACTAGCCATGGTGAGTACCTGCGCAAAGACGCGGGCTCTAGCAGTCAGATCAAATCTGGAGCCAGGAGCCTGGCCAGATAGCCCCTCGGTTGTGTTAAGGCTGCAAGCTTGTACCGGTAGGGATTTTCATCCAATTAGAAGCCGGATTATGAAGGGTACTTAATTCCACACCTAAATTACACTATAATAGAAGTCCCAGCAAGCATCCGAGCTACAAAGAGCTACATCACACACATCCCACCCTTAACGCGACTAGCGGTCACTTGAGGTACCTAGCTGCAGTCGATTAATGTGGGTCCAAGTGACCTGCTTGCAGCCTTAACACAACCGAGGGGCTATCTGGCCAGGCTCCTGGCTCCAGATTTGATCTGACTGCTAGAGCCCGCGTCTTTGCGCAGGTACTCACCATGGCTAGTCCGAAAGAAGAAAGGCTACGGTCGCACATTAGCTAAGGTCCGCAGTTGCTGCCATAACCCCACATCTAGCATTTTAAGCGATTTTAGCGGTTTAGGCGGTTTAAGTGATTTTTAATATTTTAAGTAGATTACTTATATATAAGTAATATTACTATTATAAAGAGACTTAAAATACGTATAAGAGAAGGTTTATACTCTTTTAAATAAAAGACTTACCTATTAATAAATTCTTAATTACCTTAATAATTAATTTTTTATATAAGAGTAATAAACTATTAATATTTATATCTTTTAATATTAGCTTTTTTCTTAAGGTTTTTTACGTATATTAGCTATAATATCTCTCTTTAATCTTTATAAAGAGATATTTAAGCTTTTTATATAAAGTTATATAATATAAAGTGTTCTTTATATAATAAATAAGCTTTTTTAATAATAAGGTAATTTAATAATTAACTTATAAACTCTTAAGTTATAGCTTTAAAGTTAAGGGTTTTTATAATAATATTATATATAAATTATAAATAAATTAATTAAACGTGTATAATTTTACTTCTTTTTATATATGAGGTTGTTG